CAGCAGCAACAGCAGCAGCAGCAGCAGCAAGAAGCCAGATTCAAACTCATCCCCGTTCTGCCTTCGGCTGGCAACCAGTGTGTACGTAGCGGCGTAGCTTTGGCCTCCGCCGCATGGATTTCCCATGCCGAGTCAAAAGTCCGACCCTTAGCCTTCTTTTACCTGTCGACAAGTTGCAACTCCGATCGCATGAGCAGCACCTTTTTGTCCAGGTGAGAAGCGCCAGCCCCGGCTCGGACCCTCGCCGCGACGCCTTGCCAGTCAAGGGGCGTGGGCGTCGATCTGATGAACAAGCAGCTCCTTGCTTGAGCCACGGACCGGCCTGACAGCTCCGCCTGCGCCCAGAACCAATTTGGCCCACAACGCCCGCTCCAATTCTAGGCTGCTCAATTGCCATTGCCAGCGACGCCGCGGACCTGCTGACTCCACGTCGCGGACTGCGCTGCTGCACGCCGAGCTCGAACCCTCCGCTGTCGATCGCCCTCAGCATCACGACGACTGCATCCACTCCGCTCGCCGCATCCGTTGCAAATGTGCCGGTTGTGCGATGACCGATTGTTGTGAACGTGGATGCAGAGGCAGTTTCGGCGCTAAGTGCCAACGAAAAGACTCGAGGCATTGCTGCCAAGCTTCTTGGAGAGGAAAGTGCGAGGCGCTAGTGTCGCAGCCGGCGCGAGGTGAGTGGAGCGGCCGCCTCCGATACCGAGTCTGCAGCTCGTCACCGGCATTCCACACCAGCAAGGCCTCCCTCGCGCGCCAGTCCTCGGCACAGAGAGAGATCGTTCAACACGAGGTCACAGCAGCATGGAGGGGCCGACCGGGGCAGAAGGGAATTTTCGAGATGCCTTCGTTTGGAGTGCAACCATCATTCTGAATTCGCAGAGCCGCTAGCCGAGGTGCGAGCGCGGTTTCGGCACACATCCAAGGCGTCACACCCCCTTGACCAGGGGGCTGACCGAGGGAAAAGCGGTCGAGAGTCCAGACGTGTTGGCACCTGCCACCCGGCCTTTCAATCCAAAATCGTAATGTGAAACGGTGCCCACGCCCATCCGTCGGATTCTTTTTTCGGACGCGCGCGTTTTTTTTTTTCTTCTCCGTTTTTTTTCCCCCTCTCTCCCCTCTCTTGCACGCCAGAAGTCCGCTTTAGCGCCTCGAAGCCAGAGCGCGGTCAGCTGGTTGCGCTGGTTGCGCCATACCTCACACCCCTCCGGGCCCACGCCGCATGATTGTAGACTCGCCTCTGGCATCCCGCCTGTTTGCTTCTGCTTGGCTTCTGCTTGGCGGCCCTGCTCATGCCCCTTGCGTGCCTCCCAAGCGCCTCTGCAGCCGTCGAGGCCGCTCCCTCGCCCTTTCCCTCCTGGATTCGCGACGTTCCGGATCGACGCTGCCTCTGGCGCCACTCTGTTGACTCTTAGGCTGCATTCGCGGCAGCCTCTGTTCCGAAGGCACTTTTTCAGTGCTCTTCTGTTCACGAATCCCCGACTGGCGTAGCGCCTGGGTGACCGCATCCGCCCCTCCTCCAGACTGGGCTGCGACCGTCTGCGCCGCCGCACACATGCAAAATAACGGAAACCGCCCGAGAGATGATCGCCTCTATCTCCATCCTCGGCCCTTAAGGCGCCACACCTCTCTCCCAGCTGAGCAAGCACACCAACGAATCCGACCATCCGGCATCTCGACTGACATTGCGCCTTTCCCCCGACTTGCGATGCACGATCGCCCTGCAGCAGTGCTCGCTTGTCTCTCCTCGTGCCTCGAGTGCCTGAGCCAGGATGGAGCGAGGTATGCCGGACCATGATGCCCGACGGCGGCCCTCGCCCAGCTGTGACGCCACGCCCCTTGTCCCGAACCTGCTGCTCATGGCTGCTTGCACGGACTGTTGTGAGCCGTTCCTTGCAACGGGATGCATCTCGCTTCGCTCGCTTCACGACCCAGCTTCCATTTTGTGAGGTACAGCGAGAGTTGGCCTTGCCAGCCACCTCGCTTGCGCCAACCCTTTAAAGACTAGCCCTGGCCAGCCCTTGAGGAATGCATCCCGTCCCCTTACCCACACTCGACGATCCGACCTGCCCCTCGCCCTCTCCCCTTTGAGTGCACTGCTTGTCCGTCGACCTTGCCATTCCCCTTCTGTTCTCACCACCACCAACCTCGTCTCGACACATCCTCCCTACTTTCATATCGACTTGACGTGGTCGCTGCCTACCATCATGCAGTTCAAGTCCTCCATCCTTCTCATGGGCCTGGCCGCTGCAGGCCTCGCCTCGGCTGCCCCCGCCGTTGCCGACGCTGCCGCGCCTGCAGTCGAGCGATCCGAGCCCGTTGCTACCACCAACAACGTTCAGCGCGACACCACCGACGCCGCTCCTTCGGCTGACTACGGCATCGGCCCTCCCATGGACCAGTGGAGCTACAAGCGTGATGGCCAGCCCGCCGGTGACTTTGGTGTTGGCCGTGCCGACAGGTGGAGCTATAAGAAGCGCCAGGGCGAGCCCGCTGGCGACTTTGGTGTTGGCCGCGCTGACAGGTGGAGCTACAAGCGCGACGGCGAGCC